CAAAGAGAAACCTTTTGGCACTTTCCCCACCCACTCAAGTGAGCAACACGGCTGAGGGAAAGAGCTCTGCGGACAGGATCCGCACCCATGGATCCCAGCTTTGTCACGGACTCGCCGGCTGGCTGCTCTTGAATAAGGAACATGACACCTCTGGTGCTCACCCACCAAGGTAACTGCACCAGACGCTCTCTACAATGGCCCAAGATCTCTTAAAATTCTCTTTCCAATGAACTCACTGCTTCAGTGTCTTCACTAGTGGATCACGTACCATGGGTAAAAATACGGGGGATAAATTATGTGAGAGAAGACAGGCAAGTAAGTAGAGTTATTTTCATTAAGCATATAGAAATGGGGACTTCCCTGGAGGTCCAGTGGTTGGGACTCTGTGTTTCCACTGCAGGGGACCTGGGTTTGATCCCTAGTTAGGGAACTAGGATCCCACACGGCACAGTCAAAAATAAATAAATAAAATAAAGTAATTTTACTTGGGGATTGTAAACATAGGAAAACAAAATATCAGAATGTTACAACTATAATGGGAGAAGACAAAAATGTATACCAAATAACAGTCTACCAAATATTAGAGAATAAAACCACATATTACATGTTCATAAAACCCAAAGCTATCTTTTCAAAAGAGAGCTTCAGATATTTTAATTGCAAACACCCAAAATGTCTGTCAACAGTGGAATGGAAAAATAAATAGTATGTATTCATACAATGGATTACTACATAGTGACAACACCCACATGTCTCACAGACTATAAACTAAAGAAAACAGAAACAAGAGAATACACACCATATACTTCTGTATACACGAAGTTCAAGAAGAGGCGAAATCAACTGTTAGAAAACTTCTGACTTTTAGAAGATTATCTTTGGTCGGTGTACTAATAAGGAGGAAGCACCATGGAGCATCTAGGGACCCTCCTGGGTTGTAGTTACAAAAGTATATACATAGGTTAAAATTCACTGAGTATTCACTTAAGATTTGGGCATGTTATGGAGTAACACCTCAATTTAAATGATTTTTTAAAGTAAATCCAAAAGCACTTCCAAATTTTTTTTTAAATTTAAAAGTGAAACAGCACAAGTATTATATAAAACAAATCTATTTAGTGACCACAGGGGAGCATATCAGAAGTTGATACAAAAAGAACTTAAAAGAAAAACTTTGTTTATTCTTCATCAGAAATAGTCTTCAGGGTATGCAAAGTCTAGAATACTAATGTGTACTTTCTCTAACCCTATCCTTCCCAATCCTTAAAAGAACACCTAATTTTAAATGAGTTGAATAATAATCTTGAAGAAAAAAAATAACACACAGATGACAGCCAGTTTCTAGGATATAGATAAAAGGACTTCTATTTGCTCTTGACCAGACGGGGACTAGCTAAAAGGTAGTTCAGGAGCTATCAGCTGTCCAACTGTAACAGAAATATAAAAATAAACATGCAAGCCCTTGGCAGCCTGAACAGCAAAAATGGCACCAAGAAAGGTAGAAAACCCCCAAGAAACCCGCAAAGAAGAATGAGAATAGAACAGATTTCTGCTGTTGTGAAAAGAAAGAAGAGTCGCCCGTCTCACTGTGCTGCTCAAGGGATTTTAGTCAACAGTGGGTCCCTCTCCAGTGAGACAAGGGCAAGCGTCACCTGGAGCAAGCTGCACGGAGCAGGACACAGTTCTCGTGATCCCCTGCCTGTGGGGCGACTGCAGTGAGCAACAGCACCATGAAAGAAACAAGTGAGAAATTACCACAGAAGCTGGAGCAAGCTGCATGGAGCAGGACACAGTTCTCATGATCCTCCGCCTGTGGGGCGACTGCAATGAGCAACGTCACCGTGAAACAGACAAGTGAGACATTACCACCGCAGAAGCACCTTGTGCAATTTAGCAAACTCACCATGACATTAAAATTGTCCATTCTTGGAGATGGGTGTGAACACATACCCGACTTGGAACAGGACTTCTGATCTTGATAAATGAGGGCATCTGCCCAATGAAGCATTCAAGAAGAAGGCTCTTTCCTAACAGTGATTTATATCTCTGGTGTAAGTCAGGTTATGAGGTAATATTCATTATTCACAAGCTTAATACCGATGACTGCTCAGAGAATTTTAAAAAATAAATGCTGAAAAAAATCACCCATTCTTTATTCCCAAATTATGTAATTTTAAAAACATAGGGCTTAATCATAAAATCCAAAACTTGAAAAAGCAGACAACCACCACCCATAAAGCCCCCACACTAATCCAACACTACAGCATTTTGCTGTATTTATATTAACGTCTAATTGTTTTCACTGCATGGATTCTTCTTACATAGTTTATTCATTCAGTACATGTTTTTGAGGGCTTATGATGAGTCAAGCATTTTGCCCTGTGCCAAAGATGAAATAATCATTTTATTTGAACAAATTTCCTTTTCTACTTATTTGTAAGTTATAATCTTCCCTGTTATAAAGCTGAAATCGTTTGTCTAACTTTTCTAAGTTTTTATTGCTATTTAATACACATGCAGGAAAAATGCATAAATTGTAGTACAACACATGCTACCTCACTCAGGTTAAAAAGTAGACTACTGGCATCTCGGGTAGCTTTAAATTGTTTTAACAATAAACAGTAGGACCGCCCTGGCAGTCTTCCCCTCTCTGGTGGATTCTGTGTCCTCCCATACAGACGGTGCAAAGATCACACCCGGAGGTAGCTGGCATTCCTCGGAGGGTCAGCAGACTGGAGTGATTATCAGGGGAAAGGAAATAAGGAACAGGAGGCTCACTGGTCATAGCCACCTCTCTGTTAGGTTTCAAGAGAAATGGGTACAAAGAATTTTAGAGATTTGTCTAAAACTCAGTCCAAATGGGTATTCCCAGCAAAGGCCCCAGGTGAATATAAAGAGAGGGCATGAGCTGGGGCTTTCCAGCATGTGGGATCCTACGATTATGGTTGCAATCCTGCAACAACCAGGCAGGATTTCATAAGCAGGGATGCTGGCCTCCTTTCACAGAACTAAAAGAAAAAACCCTAGAGATATTTTGGCCCAATCCTGTAACTTTACACAGAAGGAAGGTGAGGACTTCAGAGAATGTAAGTATGCACTAGCTCCTGTTTCAGTTGCCTGTTACTGCCTAAGTGATCACCTAGAAACTCACTAGTTTCAAATTAACAATGATCATTTGTAACTATGTGTGGAGATGGATGCTTCCTAGATTTATTGTGGTGATCCTTTCAGAGTATATACAAATATAAAATCATTATGCTGTATACCTGAAACTAATATGTCAATTATATCTCAAAAAAAAAAAAAAAAGAAACCAACAGCAGCCACCATTTATTCTCTCTCCCGGTGCTGGGGCTGATGGGGTTCAGCTGAGCCTCTCACTCGGGCTTCTCATGTAGCTGCAGCCAGACACTGGCTGGTGCTGGAGATCCCCGGACAGACTCCTCACTTACATCTGGTGGCCGTGGGAAGGGCAGCCGGGGCCTCAGCTGGGGCCATCAGCCAGAATACCACCACTCAAGGCCTCTTCATGCCGCCTGGGCGTCCTCACAGAACAGTGACAGGCAAGCAGCAGCATCTTTCTATGATCCCACTTCTGAAGTCACACAGTACCAATTAAGCTGCAGGCGCAGGCCGACCCAGGTTCAAGGCCAGGGAGGCAGGGCAGAGACACCCACTCAGACCATACCTCTCCATGGGAGGAGTATCAAAATTACATTTTAAGGAGACAACGTGGAGATCTTGTTGCAACAGGTTAGAAGACACACTTTGCACAGATGCCCTTCCTACAAGACTCCCCCTTGCAAACCCTCGTCACGGCATTTATCACACTGCAGGAAACCATCTGCTTATTTTTGACCCACCTCTTCCACAACAGTTAAGTGAAAGTCACTCAGTTGTGTCTCTTTGCAATCCCATGGACTATACAGTCTATGGAATTCTCCAGGCCAGAAAACTGGAGGGGGTAGCCTATCCCTTCTCCAGGGGAGCTTCCCAACCCAGGAATCGAACCAGGGGTCTCCTGATTGCAGGCAGATTCTTTACTAGCTGAGCCACAAGGGAAGCCCTTCACAACAGTATGAGCTACTTAAGAGGAGTAACTGGATCATTAGTGTAACCTTTGTATTCCTGGCATTTAGCAGATGCTCAAAAAATTATCTGTTGCATCAATGAACAAAAAAAAGTTGGACTTTAAGTAAAAGATATTTTTAAAATATTTTTAATAGTTTCTAAAGAATCTAAAAAAATCTCTTTATCAAAATCTCTCAGACTGAGTAAGCTTAAGACCATCAGCTTTGAGAATTGCTATACCTGTAGGTTTCATTAACAACATCTTTAACTAATTTATCTTTAAGTAATAAAGTTGCTACTAACTCAAATATATCCAGCTGTTTAAAATGTATCAGCAACACAAAATGCTCATCTTAACACATATTCAGAATAACTCACAGGTTTACTATTTTCCCTTCAAAATCGGTAGGATATTTTATGACAAATGCCCTTAAAAGGAAACTTATTTGTAACACCGCTGTTGCTAAATGTGCCAAAGGAAATCACTTAAAACCCACTCCAAGAACTCGGTGTGCTGAAGTGCAAACATACAATTTTAAAGTATTTTTATTCTTAAATTACATACTCTTGTATCATGTTGTTGGATATAGGTCATTCAAACCTAAATTATCACTGTACTGTCAACTTTTTTTTTCTTGTCAGCAAATAAAACCAAGATGAAATAAAATTTATAAAAACTCAAAAACTAGTTAAGTTGTTCCCTGGTCGAACAAAGCATGCATGCATATTCAGTGCACTAAAGTGCTTGTCTAAAGAACACCACACATTGCAGTACATCATCCTTACAATTTCACTATTGTCCCAAATATCATTGAGCAATCTTTAATTAGTTGAGACTCAGTATAATTTTGCTTCCATCGCTTTCTTCACAAGGCATCATCAACTGTTAACCCTGCAAACGAGGACTGATGTTCACCAGCAGGACTTACCAATTAAAACCTGACCACTCTTCATTGCAGATCCTCCTGGCAGCAGGCCATGGACCACAAGCCTCTCTCCACCGCCCTGTTTTCCAGTTCTTCTCCAGCTCCACTTGGTCTGATGGATAATCCCAACAAGTACTTCCAGAAGCTTGGGCTGCTCTTTGGCTTTGGTGACGGTTAGCTTTTTGGGGTTTACGTAGATAGTCACATCTTTGTGCCGCTGCTGGACAACAACTCCCGTTTTCCGATCGGACTGATGCTTTAGAATGGACACTGGCCCGCTGGCATTACTATTTTTTTTATTATAGCGCTTGGGTAAAAGTTTTTTACTTTTTAAAATCTTGGTAAACCGCTTGAGTTTGGGTTCATACTTTTTTCCTTCCCTGTAATACTCTTCTTCGATAATGATCTCGTTTTCACTGAATCTGACATGGTTCACAGTAGGTGTCTCAGGAAGGAGGCTTTCCTCCTCATCCTCACTCAGCTCCAAATAAAACAGCTCTCCATTCTTCTGCACACTGTCCAGCCATTCAGGCTCAAGGTCACTATGGAAAAGAGAAAAGACAGTCTGAATTGCAGCGCAACATAAGAAAAACAGTTATGCCTTTCCAGCACAGGGGTGAGGGTACAGGCTGGGGTGCAGGGAGACGGGAAGGGCAAAAGCGCCTTGATTATCTCAAGGTCTCCTTTCTGTTCCTAATTTACTGTGAGCATCAGCATTATTTACTGTAGAATGCTGTTTGTAGAGCTTTGAAGAACTGGAGTTGGAGGAGAGGGGATCAAAATGGCACAGTGATAGAAAAGAAAACAAACGAAAAAAAGAGATGGCCCTCTCCTAGAATCCAAGGTTCTGTTTTGTTTTTTAAATTTAATTCCCTGTGTGGTTTTTGTTCACTTTAGACAATTTCACTGGACAATAATTTACATTAGTAGTTGATTATGCAATTATGTCCACAGATGTAAGACATTTGGAAATTGTACATAAAAACATCTTATTTGCATAGAAATTATACATCATGGCTGACATGCTAAAACAAAAACTAAAGCCTACCAATATTAAGAGACTTTGTTTATATAATACATTTTCAAAAGAGGAACATTCACTCACCATGAACTAAAATCTTTGCTGAGATCAACTAATTTATCATACAATCACAGTTAATAATAATCACTTTGTAGCCTAAAATGTCCATAAAATTCTTTTTAATGAACAATTTTAGAAGGAAAAGAACACCACAAATTACATAATTCATCATGTGATTATAAAAAAAAACCTTTTAACTGGGAAGTAGGACATTGAAAAAAACAAAATTGTTGCTATTAAAGTGATTGAAACAGCACTGAAAAACAAAAATATTCTTCTTAAGGTAACAGAACTAACCACAAACTCTACCCTGTTCAATATTACAAACAGTTTACCTTTCAAATTGGTATACTTTAAAGCAAAATTGGTTACACTGGAGAGAGTTTTTTCAGAAACGTGGACTGTAATACGTTGGCATGAAAGGGTATAAGCTGGGTCCTAATCATTCAGTCAGTTATAAGACATCTCTATTTTCTGCAGTATTTATTAGCAACCCTGGTTCTTTTGGCTTAAATCAAGTGTCTCTTTCTAAATATCATGAAAATTAATTTTTACAAAAAGTACTATTCTATTAATCAGTCTGAAACTAACCACTGCCCTGGTCTGTGGTTGGTAATTAACACTGAATTTTCAACTATATATGTTTGGTTAAAAAACAACAAAAAGCATAACTATCCCCAGATCAAAACTAACATTTCTTTGGTCTGTGCTGGTCCCCAGTGTGTGGCATCATTTTAGGCACTTAGGCACATGTGTATTATTCACCATTATCAGTTGCTTTGAATATATCTGTCTATACCTGCAGAAATCAACATTTAATAACTCTGCAGTTCTACTGATAGATAACTGCATTTTTGTCATAAAATATTAGATAACAATGCACCATAATTCAAAATGGCACAATGAAAATACCATAATAATACACAATTACATATGAAGATATATATCAATTAGAAAATGAAGCTGATTTGCTTTAAAATCTCACCTTTTTAATCTGCTATGTTATTTAAAGATATGTGATTCCAAAGAAACATTTATCCCTCCCTGCTAATCATGAAGATGATTCATCTTATCCTCTATAATCTGAATGTGAAACCACTCTTTGGTTATGAGTTAATGATGCCAGCAGGGGAGTGCGCCAAGGAGGGTGTGTGTCAGGAGTGGAACAAATAAACAGCGCCAGGCACTGTGCTGAGTACTAGAATTACAGTGATGAAGACATCAGTTCCCTCCCTTGTCCAGGGGAGAGGAGAACCTGAGAAAGAGCTCATGGCAATACACATGGTCAGTGCAAAAGAGAGCTTGGCCAAGTTGAGTGTGGGATTAAGGGAGACTTTCCAGTAGGGAAACCACAGAGGTGAGTTTTAAAATGGCCAGGGAGGAGGGCTTGGGGGGCTGAAGCAGAGGATGAGACGAGAATTCCAAACAGAAGTACCAGGATGAGCAAAGGCCTTGACGGGTAGTCTCCTTGGTCTATGTAGACAACGACAGCCAGTCTGTGGTTGTCAGAGCGGAGTTGATGAGGTGGGGAATGATAGGAGATGTGGAGTTCTAATTTTGAGAAGGACCCCCGCAAAAGGTTTGGATTTTGTTGTGTAGGTAAGAGAGCATCAGTGAAGAGTTTTAGTAGAGGGTTTCCAAGTCAGATACCTTTGAATAGCTCTACACTGACAGGATGATAGAAGAAGCTGTGGTGGACAAAAACTAAAGGTAAGAGGCCATGCAGGAGACTGCTTCCATAGTCCAAGGCAATATGATAATTAAGGCAATGGGAGAGGAGATGGAAAGCAGGAAAAACATTTGAGAGACGCTTGAAAATCACCAGGACATTAAGACTGATTACATGTGATGATGAGCAAGAGTAAAGAATTGATGCTGACTAGGAAGGACTGATCGGAGAAGGCAATGGCACCCCACTCCAGTACTCTTGCCTGGAAAATCCCATGGATGGAGAAGCCTGGTGGGCTGCAGTGCATGGGTCACTAAGAGTTGGACACGACTGAGCGACTTCACTTTCACTTTTCACTTTCATGCACTGGAGAAGGAAATGGCAACCACTCCAGTGTTCTTGCCTGGAGAACCCCAGGGACAGGGGAGCCTGGTGGGCTGCCATCTATGGGGTCGCACAGAGTCGGACACGACTGAAGCAACTTAGCAGCAGCAGCAGGAAGGACTGATGCTGAAGCTGAAACTCCAATACTTTGGCCACCTCATGCGAAGAGCTGACTCACTGGAAAAGACCCTGATGCTGGGAGGGATTGGGGGCAGGAGGAGAAGGGGATGACAGAGGATGAGATGGCTGGATGGCATCACCAACTCAATGGACATGAGTTTGAGCAAATTCCGGAAGTTTGTGATGGACAGGGAGGCCTGGCGTGCTGTGATTCATGGGGTCGCAAAGAGTCAGACATGATTGAGCAACTGAACTGAACTGAACTGAACTGAGATTTCTAGTTGGCAACTGTACTTTCATGCATCCTTTCTTATATATATAGGCAGACTCATCTTACATAAATGGGCATGTACTTATTGTAGATGTCATCCTCCCTTCCTATCTTTCACTGACATAAATGATGTTAAAATCTACGTACCACACAAGGTCTTGCTATATAGCACAAAGAACTATATTCAATATCCTGTAACGAACCAAAATGGAAAAGAATATGAAAAAGAATATAGATATCTATGTACAACTGATTCACTTTGCTGCATACAAGAAACTAACATTATATATTGATATATAACATTGTATATCAACTATACTTCAATTTAAAAAATTTCTGAAAATCTATGTTCTTATAACAATATAAAATATGTATGGGGAAATTTGTTACTGTTTGTTTTGAAAAAGTGACTGCAATCTATACATACGCACATGCACACACCTGTATAATTTCTCACTTAAAATCATGATTCAGAAATTCCTAATGGCTACATTAAGATATGTAGCAGGAGGGATGTAGCACATTTGATTACTCACCTACTGGTAAGCTTTACATTCACTTTTTTTTGGGAGGGGTCTCCTATAAACAACAATACAATAACCATCTTTTTATGTAGGGAAATATATATATGTGCATATACACACACACACAAGCACATATATATACTTGTGATATATCTGTATATACATATATATTTTTACCCAAAGACTATAGCAATTCACATTTCCACCAGCAATGAGTAAGATCCATTTTCTTAACCTCTAAATTTAAAAAAATACTTCACTTTAAGCAGAATAATTTGCTTTTTAAGAGGAAGAAATTTTTAAAAAGGGGATAAGAGACAAGAATAAAGAGAAGGAAATGACTGTAGTAAACTACAAATGAAGACAAAACACGTAATAAAAAGAAAATGAACTGAGAAGTCACAGACCTTGGTTCAAACTGTTCTTTTGAGATTTTCACTTTTCTGAGCTTCAGCTTTTCTCTTCTTGTAAATGGATTCTAGCTATCTCACAGAGCTGTCATCAACAGCAAGTAAAATAACGTGTCTGGCACAGTTAAGGACAAATAAATGGCAGTTCCAGTCCTCTCACCCCACAGTCAGAGCTGTGGAGAAATGTACACCTTTATTAGATATAGCTCTTGTATTTCCACACTCTTTCAACCCCGAGCAGTAAACAAAGATGTCTCCAACAATCTCTGTTTGCTAGGTTCCAGCTAAGTGCTGGTGACACATGAACCAAAACTAGACACTGCCTTTAAGGCCACAGTTCAGGATTCCCAGAAGGTTCCTTACTTTTGTGCGTGCGTGCAAAGTTGCTTCAGTCAGGTCCGACTCTTTGTGACCCTGTGGACTGTAGACTGCCAGACTCCTCTATCCATGGGGATTTTCCAGGAAAGAATACTGGAGGGGGTTGCCATGCCCTCCTCCAGGGAATCTTCCCAACTCAGGGATAGAACCCGCATCTCCTGCAGCTTCCTGCATTGTAGGCAGACTCATTACCACTGAGCCACAGGAAAAGCCCTCCTTATTTCTACTACAGGTGATCAATTCCCATCACAAAAACATCAAGAGTATAACTGATAAACATGCCAGAAAGTTTACAGAGGTGGAAGGACCATACTCTCAAACTAGTTCGATTATAATGAATGAGGTGTACTAAAAACAAGAAACCCCAACTTTTCATTGCAACTATTCACTAATAGTGAAATCAGGATTGTATGTAGATACACCCCACTCTAAGAGATGGAGCTTAGTCTTTCTTCCTCTTTAGTGTGCACTGGACTCATGCTTCCAAAGAAGAGAGCATGGGAAGTGAAATACGGCAGCTTCACAGTGAGGAAATCTGGCAGTCACCACCTTAACCAAGTGACTGAGGTTATGAAAAACAAGGACGGACTGAGAAACTGTCACGACCAGAGGGAACTAAGGAGACAGGATGACTAATGCCATGTGATACTCTGGATTGCATCTGGGAACCGAAAAAGGACTTAAGCAGAGGAATGGTGAAATCTG